TGCCTGATCTTCCAAGGTGTCACCCTGAGTGTTTACGAGTGGAAGTGCGTTTGCTTGTTTTCCTGCTATCCTACCGACCATGTTCCAGATTTTAGCTTCCTGTGTGTATGAATTGATCCCTGACAAAAACTTCTGCCAGCTTTCTCTTCTGGCCTGCCGACGCGTTCTCCTGCCTTGAGACTATTTTCTTGAAGGTGTCAAGATTTTCGGCTGTCGGTGAGTTCCGAAGCAGCCTCCAAGCTCTGTTTTGCTGTTAGCGCGCGTTTCGGCATTCAGAGTTCCACCATGGCACACGCCGTTTTCCAGGGTGTCCATTTGTTTGTGGGATGCATTTTGTTGCAGCATCAATCAAAAACGTTGTGAAGTAGTTCACAGCAACATCAATGTTCAAAGTACAGATGTCATTCCAACCTAGACAAGCGATAGTATGAAACTGTTCCCAGTCGGTTCTGTTTATGAGCCACTTGGGAACACGTGGTGGACACTCAGTTACTGTCGTTGTGCTCAAAACTACGGGGAAGTGGTCACTTCCGTACAGATTACTGACGACTTTCCACTGGAGTAGAAGCACAAGAGATGGAGATACTATGCTCAGGTCTATGGAGGAGTAGGTGTTATTAGCCAGGTTATAATAGGTTGGTTCTTTTCGATTTAGGAGACACGCGCTCGACGAGATAAGGAACTGTTCGATCAGTCGACCTCGCGCGTCATACCGAGAGTCACCCCATAACCTGCTATGCGCATTAAAGTCTCCAAGGAGAACATAAGGCTCTGGAAGTTCATCAATTAGAGAGTGTAAATCGCGTTTTTGGAGCTGATAGCTAGGAGGAATGTAAATACTGCAGATTGTGATCAGTTTATCAAAAAGAACCGCTCGAACAGCCACTGCCTCAAGGGGTGTTTGGAGTTGTAAGTGTGTGCATGCTATTCCTTGATTCACTATGATGGCAACACCTCCGGATGATGTCATAGCATCAACGGGTCCTTTCGGAAAATAACGTATTTACGAAGAAAGTTTGTGTGTTTTGAGTTAAGGTGTGTTTCTTGTACACACAGCACTTTTGGAGAGTGTTCGTGTAAGAGCTCTTGGATGTCGTCAAGGTTTCTGAGAAGGCCCCTGACGTTCCATTGTATAATTTGAGTGTTCATGGTGAATGTAAAATAGTGCTGTGTATACAAAAAGCGAGTGGCTGTTTAGACAGGTAGTTTGAGTTCACTTAACAGGGCCGTCACCAGGCCCTGTTATCGGCTTTTTTGTTTTCTTGGCGCGCTCCAAGGAGCCACGCCGCTCTTTCGGCACCACGGGGACCGACGTATCCATTGCCTCCTCGGAGGCACTGGATGCCCGCACGTGCGGGCTGCTAGTTCGAATTTCGGGCCTCGCCTGGTGAGGTGAGGCCTTGAGACCCGAGGACTCTGGAGTCTCCGGTCTTTGTTTGGGAGTAGGCGGTGTAGCCTGGGCTACAACCGCCTTGGGGGCAGGTGCCACAACCTCCGGCTCGGTATGTGCGGGCCGAAGGAGTGGCGAGGGCTGGTGCAGCGGTGCCCCCTGACGCGCCGCATCAGCGTATGTAGCTCCATAGAATGGAGCGACTCTTCGCCGTGCTTCCTTAAATGTAATGTTCTCCTTCACCTTCAACGTAATTATTTCTTTTTCTTTTTTCCAGTATGTGCAGGAGCGTGAGTATGCGGCATGGTTTCCTTCGCAGTTTACACAGTGTGGCGGTTGTTTGCAGTTCTCAGACACGTGGCCTAGGACTCCACATTGCGCACAAGTCTGGCGACCACGACAGGTTTTAGAGCCATGGCCATACCTCTGGCATTGGAAGCAACGACGAGGGTTTGGTATGTACGGCCTGATAGATGTCTTTGTGTACCCTGTTTGAATAGATTCCGGTAGTTTACTGGATGCAAATGTGAGTATTAGGTGTTTCGTCGGTGTTTCCTTATTATCTCTTCTAATAATGATTCTCTGCACATTAGTGACATTTTGGCTCTTCCACCCCTCCAAAAGTTCAGTCTCAGTCAAGCCAAGTAAGTCCATGTCAGATACCACTCCGCGAGTTGTGTTCATCGATCTATGTGGTGTTATGGTTATTGGTATGCCACCGAAATCTGAAAGACGGTCTAGCTTTTCAAATTGTTCTTTGTCACGGATTTCGAGGAGAAGGTCTCCACTAGCCATTTTGGTTACCTTGTATCCTGTGCCAAGAGTTTCGGTAAGACACTTAGAAACCAGGAAAGGAGAGACGGTTCTGGCTTGCTTTTCAGTTTTTTCACAGTGGATAACATGATAGTGAGGATATGTTTCTTTGGGCTGGTTAAAAAAGTTTATATCATCGGTGCGTACCCGCTTTAAGCCGGTACGATCAGATAGTAAGGGGAATGCTCTGTGCATGCCTGTCTTATTTTTGTTCAGCAGCGTTGGCGGCCACCCACCACGGAGCCCAACGAGGGGACGCTACAAGTTTGCGGATGCTGAAACCTGCAGACGCCAGCCGTACAACGCCACTATAACCCAATGCGCCTAGACCAAGGTAGGCTATTTGCACAGGGTTAACCCTAGCCGCCAGGAAGTTTGGAAGTAAACGGAAGAGAGTAGAAGACAGGACAGATAAACAGTAAGAGATAAAGACGAAGATGTAGGGAGAGAGAGATAGGAAAAGGCGACTGCCGATTTCCCCTGGGTGGGTCAGCCCAGGGGTGCCGTCTACGTGAAGCCGGGGCCAAAGGGGTGTGTTGCCTCTGCCGGGGGGCCTTAAAGGTCCAATCACCCAGCGTGAGCTCAACCCCCAGGATCCCCTTTTCCCCGGGCACGGCAAAGCCACGCACGGCTAGGCGTGGGAGGGAGTAGAAACTCCCCCGTTAGCTCGGGTCCGTGGTGTCGCTACACACCAAACGCCTACTTGCGCAGGCGCCCCTGCGGGGGCGGTGCTGAGCAGCCATATTCCCATTCGCTTCTGCGAACTCAACACCCTCTAGTTTAAACGCAGCTCAGTACTGCCTTCTCGTACCACTACTCATATTCAGTGAACGAAAAAAAGACCACTAGAAAAGAAACACAATGTCAAGCGGAGCGAGAACTTGGAACAGATCAGAGGCAAACCATGAACACAAAAAAAACATACAAGAGAGAAAAAAAAAAAAAAACAACCTGCTATTACATTTGAACGCGAATATGGCCGTGTTCACCTTCTCATGCACATGCAAGCCACATGTTGCCAGGCAGCAGTGCACTGTCGGCTAGACACCGCTATGTAAGATGAGGGGCGACTTTAGCTCATTGTTTTATTGAAAATATCTCGACTTGTATTCCGATTTATACGGTAAGCAGAATTAGGTCTTTGTCATCCACGCCGAAGTTGGTTTGCATGTGTTCGAGCCACTGAACAAGGAGAAAAAGAAGGGCGCATTGGGCCAAAATGCAGACAGAAGGCAGTTGACTTCCCCTTGTCCCATCCATGGGAGGTTTGACGGGGCGCGGAAGTACAAAGTCAGTGGTCCTCAAAATGTAGCCGAACGAGGCGAAGGACTCTGTGCACCATTGAAAGGCTTAGTGGGGTTCGGAGGCGAAGCGAATTGCTTTCGCGATTACTGTAGTCCCGATTCCATAAGAAAGGCCCAGAGAGTGCGACCACCACGCGTACGACTGAAAAACGAGCGAACAGCCCTTAGCTTTTGAGAGTTGGTCGCTTGCTAACTTGATTGTTTTGCTTTAAACTTTTGTTTTGACTGTTTATTTCAGTTTTGGTTTTGTAAACATGGTCTTGTAAAAATTTCGGCTAGGAGCTAGCGTTTAGGCAACAAGTGCTAAGTTTTCTTTATTTCTTAAGCTTTGTATGTTTTGGTTTTAAAGATAAGCGCTGTGCAGTTGCGTGACGACATGCCTAGGAGCGTTTGTCGAGTAAGAGCGGCATTAGAAACGAATTTTGAGTGAGCACGGAGACGCACGAATATTCTTTGCGAGTTTTCAGGATTCATGGAATAGTTTTTTGTTAGTTTTTATTTTGTTCACATGTGCCCGGTGTGGATGTAAAGAAAGCGGTGAGTTCGTTGGTTCGGGAATTAATGTGTAGCTTCTATGATGACGGTAACCGCAAGTCAGAATTAGTTGTTAATCCACGCAGGATCACTATAACGTGCGTTTCCGGACGTGTAGTGTGGATGTTCCTGATACAGGTGCAGCATGACAGTTGTCACTACGTCGGCTCAAAGGAAATTGATGACTAGCTTTGGCGGCACGAAAATTTGGTCACTAAAAGACAGCGTAAAGCAAAAGGCTTTACTTTAGAAGCTGTTGACCATCTGGAAGCCAACTTGCCGCGTCAGGGTTCCGGCATTCAGCTGAGGAGGTAGTGAAAATTCGTGGGCGGTGGTGACGGCTACATGCTCAAGAAACTGTTTTCGCGAGGCCGACTTCCTCGACGTCGGTCCCGATGCCGAGTCTGAAGCTTCCGAACAGGATTACTGCAGCAGCGATTTGTGGCAGCGGATCGTCGACTCTGACCTGGGGGAGCAGATGGGACATCTGTTGTGATGATTTAATTACGGCCGATGATGATGCCGACACTGCGGAACCATGCGCTGATTGGGGCATTGTGAATGAAGTATGTGACGAGAGCTATTTGGAGGAACTGGATTGCGAGAACGATGAAACTTTGGGGCCAGTGCCTCATGCAGATATTGCCACGGGCCTCGGCGAACGAGCACCCAGCCATTTTAAATGAACTCGAGACCGCCCTTATCGTTTTTGCTCTTCGAAACACGTGCGTCAGGGACAGGAAAAAAAAATTTGTGTTTTCACTCGCAACTTTTTTTTAAAGACGTGTTTCATTTACTACGAACTTCGAGATACAGCGAACAGATGCCATGTCACACTCAGGTTCGTTATAAGAGGGCTCGACTGTACAAGCAGCTCTACCATGATTTGTTATAAGTAGCAATAGCAGCATAAAAAAAGAACAAGCAAAGTAAAAGACTAGTTAAGCCCAGCAACTAACCTCGGTCTTGTTGTCCTGTAGTTCATCATAGACAAACTTCACCACGACTTTGCAGATGTCACAAACATCATCTGTGGCCTTCTTAGAAGGAACACTTGAGACAGGAGGCATCCCAGCTTTCTTTGCTAAAACTGTAGAAGGCTCAGTATTAGGACAAAATGCAAAAGCATATTTAATCCAAATATTAAAAAAAGAGTAGGTTGAGCTATATTAATTATCTTTTTAGTGTACAAGAAATGTTCCACTTATTATATGAAAAAGCATGGTATGCAAGATTTGATACAATAACAAAAGCCTGACAGCATTAGAAGTGACTTTTTACCTGTCAGAGAAAACCAGTCATAATTGCATACTGAGCATGAGAAATGCTAGTTTGGGGCAGCCATTGGTGTTTCAGGGGAAGATGGCAAGGTGTGTCATACCATTCTCAGAGTTCAAAACATGGCTGAAGCGTTTCATAAATATTAAAGACGACAGTCTTTCTTGGAGACCTTCAACGCAAAAACTTTGTTCAGTCTGCCTGTACATTCGTCTGTTGGTCCACCGTTACCGCGAACCGGGTACTCTAAGCAGCACTAGCCGATACCCCGAACGGCCGACCCCATCCACAGCGCCCACGAATGTTGCTCAAGAATCAGCGTTCATTTGTGTGCGATTGTCAATTAAAAAGCAATTACTGCACATATCTGAGGCACCATAACATGTATATATACTCTGCATGTTCGTCTTTTACTAGAAAAGGCATATATAAGTAATTATAAGGACCGTAGCGCTTATCACGCTGCGCTGACCATGCAACGCTTGCACGAAGACGCGAGTGTTTCCAACGTTTTGCTAAGACGACGCGGTGGTGGCACCTACCCGTCGCCTTGCGTTCTACACCTTAGCAACTCTGAGACGGGTGCACACGCCCGTCTCAGGGCCACGCGCTTTGTTTTTCAAAAAAGACAGATGGCGCTCATGTCTCACGTGTTACGTGACTTGATACGCTCGTTCGCCTCCGCTGCACGCTCGAGGCACTCTAACGAGCGTTTCCGGAATACCATTTACCAATTTTCTTGCGCAGAACATCAAACAAATGTTTTTGTTCACTCTCCACATGCAAGACTATCGTCTTTCGACGACATTTGCAGATTACATGCAAATAAGGGGCCAATTATTGATTACTTACTACCAAGAGGTGCTTGAAAAACAACAGCCATCATATGTTGCAAGAAACAAACAAAAAATGATTACTTATCCAACTCACTGAAAAATAGCTTACATATTTAAAATACTAGCACTTGTGCCAGAAGTGAGACTAAACCAGTAAAGCCGAGTAGTGCATTATAGAAGTAACCACAGCCACATATAACTGTCCCAAAAGCAGCAGTTCGTATAAAGGTACGAGATTTAAATATTTAAATATTACTTAATTTTTTGCGATAGCAATCATATGGACACTCTCGATTGGTCGGCATCGGTGTCATGCATCGTATATGTATATGTATGCGTCTATTATATATATATATATATATATATATATATATATATGAAAACTCAAGCAAGAAAAAAAAGCTGTCCGTGCTTCGCACCCAGGTCGCCGCAACACGCACCTCTATCTCCCACGTGTGCTTTGCCTTACGGATGGGGGGTAGAGGGTAGATGCCTATCGAAGTTGATGCTATCGCATTCATTGCTTCTATTAAACTTACTTTTAATAAATACAGGTAAGGTAGAAACATTTAAATCAACAAATAAGCAAATAAATCAATCATTTAACTGAATAAGCCTGAACAACCACCAGGAAAATTGGCTCACCAGAAGTACACAGGGAGAGTTGTTCACAGACTTCTTCAGGTGTAAATCCCTGTACAATGAGCTGCACCAGCTGGTCATAGTAAGTGTTGACTGTGTCCATGCATGTTTGCTTCAGCGACTCCGGCAGTAGTGTGCACACACTGTCCAAGAGTTTCTTCACCTCCTCCTGTGCCATTAACCAGCACAAAAAGAACATGACCAGTTTTACCACAAAATGAGACACAAATGGTGCGGACAAGGTCGTGCAAGCTAATGTAGTTAGCCTGAAGGCTGTAAAAGTAAGGCAATTTTGTGCCACAGAACAAGAACACAGCAGCAGAAGTCACTAACATGGCTGGCACAAATTTCACCTATGACCTATGAGCTGCCAATTATTTTGGCAGTCAATATTGCACATTCCAAGACACACTGTTGGTTACCAAAGAAGTTCTAGAAGCCCCCATAGGCACTGGAAGAAAGGAACAATAATATTGCCATTGTCTCGCATGAAAACCCACATAAAACAAGCGTGCACTTGCAAATCTACACAAAACCAAATACTAACTTGAAATAAGTAAAACGAAATACTAACTTGAAATAACTGAAATTTATTTCTGTGGCTTGGTGGCAGACTTACCAGAGTGGCTTTGCTAGTTGATGATATACAACCTTAGGTGTACAGTGCAAATGTTGAATGTGGATGACAAAGAAATAGGAACCATGCTTTTATCAGTTTCTTTGTCCTCATTCAATTTTCTCGCTATGAACCCAAGGTGAACATTAGAAATCACAACCACAGGATGGCCGAGATATTTGTTGACAGGCTTTTTTAGCATACAGGAGACTCGACACAGTTGCATAGAGGTAACTCATGAATTACAGTGTACAGTCGACGACTGATTTCCCAGAAGCCCGAAAATCCGGACATGCCCGATTTCCCGGACTCATCCCCAGCACAGTCAAGTTCTCCATAGAGTCAATGTATTAAAAAGTTCAGAATTCTGGTCGCTTATAGCTTTCGCCATCTGATTTTCCAGACTTCTTACCGCTAGCCATGGATTCGAAGTCACCCCCAACACCGCTATTTGGTTTGTTTTGGCCTCGAACCCAACTCGGCATTGTGAAGGTCTTATATAGAGACCTTAAGCCTTGCAGGTGTGGTCCAGAGTAGCCAGCGGCACAATGCCTACCACACCGCGGCTGCTGTACTCTTGAAACCACGATTGCCGCAATATAGCGCATTCCAATTCGTTGCCAGCCATTGCCCAGTCAGACCACATCACTGTGTTCGTTCACAAGTTGTTCTGTCAGCTCTGCGGTAGAATGTGTGCTGCTGCACGTTATCTTCAGAGATAACATTTCCCGAGCGCCTGCATTCATCGAGTTTTTAGCTAATTTGGTGCTGCCTTTTCATCAAACGAATTTGACGTTTGTGACGGCACGAACTGCTCCTTAGTCTTCATGCTCATCTTTGAAGCGCGCAAATCCCCCTCGTAGGCTTACAATGTAAAAGAAAGCTGCCATCATTAAACAAGTCCAAAGCAGCCAATTGCAGAGCAGAAGTGGGGAGGGAGTTCGGAATTTCTAAGCAAACTATTTCGGACTTCATGAAGAACAAGACGAAGATCTCAGAACTGGCTGCCAAATCAAGCAGGGCTGCAAAGAAAAATGCAGGACAGGGTGTTTACCCAAAGCTCGAGGAAGCACTCATCGTGTGGCTCAATGCCATGATCACCAAGAAAATCCCAGTGTCAGGCGACATCCTGAAGCAGAAGGCGAAGGTTTTCACGCTTCAGATGAACGTGAAGGATTTCAAGATCAGTGATGGATGGCTTCACAATTTCTCAAGAGCTGCAATGACTTGAAATTCAAGAAGATATGCCGGGAAAGCAATATGATTCCTTAATCGCTGAATATCAGAATGGAAGACAGCAGTTCTTGCTTCACCAGTTTCTACCAGACTATTTTCAACTGGAATGAAAACGGACTGTTTTACAAGCCTCTGCCAGAGAAAACGCTTGCATTTGCTGGTGACCCTTGCCACGGCAGCAAGCATAGCAAGGAGCAGCTCACTGTCCTCATTGGCAGCAACGTGTCAGGTAGCGAGAAGCTTCCGTTGCTTGTGATAGGGAAGTCAAAGCCTCCAAGATGTTTCAAGGGGGCAGTGATTCTGCCTGTTTTCTACGAAGTCAACAAGAAGGCATAGGTGACGCAGCAGCTATTTGAAATGTACATGCACAAGCTGAAAAGAAGGTTTGGGCAGCAACTTTGAAAAGTGCTGCTGTTTGTCGATAACTGCGCTGTGCACGGCCACATCAAGGGACTAAAGGCTGAACAGGTTGAATTTATGCCACCAAACACCACAGCAATCCTGCAGCCGATATAACAAGGTGCGATTCGCAACTTGAAGCATCTTTATAAATCACACATGCTTAGCCGCATGGTGCTGTGCTCCAACAGCGGGAAAAGCTACACTGTTGACCTCAGGCCAGCTGTCGACATGTTTGCCGACTCGTGGAAGGCGGTTACGCAAGACACTTCAGAACTGTTCTTGCTGTGTGGGCTTCACATTCAACGCCGAGACGACCATGGCGCCCCGAGATGACAGCGTGTGGGACGAACTAACGTTCCTTTCAACGATATTTGCACTGCCGGTGTTTAAACTCCAGTCAAGATAACTTTTGAGGGTTTCGCCGATGCTGAGAAAGACCTCGATCTGTGTGCGGAATCGACGAATGAGGAAATCATTCGACAAGTTATGGACGATTCAGGCGACTCAGACACCGAGGTCAGAGGCAGTGCCTACACAGCCAACAAGCTCGAAGTTGACACGTGCAATGATGATTGTTATCAAAATACAATGGCAGCATGGTGTTAACCAAAATCGGCACACATCATATGATCATAGGCAAGCGGAATGTAATGCAGAATAAAATCAGCAACTTTTTTCGGGCCAAAGTGTCGGCTAATGAGGTAGAGCCGGCCACATTGGATTTCTTTTCTTTTCTTTAAACAAACGGCTCTTTTCAGATCCAGCTAAATGATGCTTTCGATGGATTTCAACAAGACAATTGTACTCCTGCCGTTACCCTCGCTGTCAGTGAAAAATACCTGTAAAAAAGGCGCGCTTTTGCGTGCAGTCATTCTTCTGGACTGCCCAATTTTCCGGACATTTTCACAGTCCCTTGAGGGTCTGGGAAATCGGTCATCGACTGTATTAGAATGTCGCTCTGTGTAAAGTACTCCCATTATTTCAACCCTTTCGCCATCTTTTTTGAACTAGTACATACAGAAGTAGGCAAGAAAGTATTATTTATATCGAACAAAAACAGTAACGCTCATTTAACATGTACATTTAAGACATTGAACAGACTAAACCTGTTGCACATTAATTCCAGGATGAGCATTGATGGCGGCAGCATAGTCCGTGAGCAAAAAATTGTGATGGACGCAAATAATAAAATTTCAGCTAGCATTCTGCGCAGTGTTCTTTCAGAGCTATGCCAGTATACTAAGGTGAAAATCCGTATACAAGCATAATGTTGAGCGAGGAGTCATGACAATATATGTAGTATTGGGAGGCAGAACTGTAAAATCACACTATGTGTAACACCATGTGAATCGCACAACATGGTAGTTGTTAAAATGGCCCACCCATTAAGAGGGGATATGGCTTGTGCAGACTAAGAAATCATCAAAGAAAACTTAACCTTATTACAGTATTAGAACCTATTAGTAATCTTTCACACGTACGTAAAGGGCACTGACACAAAATTTCATTGCCAAGATAACCTGCAAAATCAATTCTCATGAACATGGATATATCATCTGCAAAATATAAACAGCAAATATAGCTTGCAAGGTATTTTATATGAATTTCGAAGTTGGTGCATTGATGTGGTACTTACACCATCAAAAGTGACCTAAAAAAAATGACCACCCTACATCCCTCACGTCACAATGCTGCAGTCAATACAACATGCTGTGATGACGTCACATCCGCCACTTTTCTTTTGCTGCATTTGCTTCCCCCCCCACCCAGCAGACTATTACCATGAAATACCGATAAAACGCCACCACCCATGTAAGCACCCGCTCATATAATTTGAAGATTTCAGACTTTCGGTCTTTGCCAAGCAATCGCCCCCCCTCCCCCTCTTGACCACCTCAACTCATCACAACTCTGCCGACTTATATAAAAGCTGCCGAAAGCAAAACCGCACCAAAAGCTCTGGCTACGCCTCGTCTAATCCAAAAGACAATTTGAAAATTGGTCAGGTGACTACCTTCGCTGGCACCGAGCTGGCATTGCCACGAAACCTGCCATTTTGTTATTCTCGTTTGTTTGTTCCAAACGTGACTGCAGCGACTTTGCGACATGCATTCCAATACAATAAAAAAAATCGAAGTCGTGAAATGGAATCGCCAGGCCAGAATAAATGTGCACACAACAGCTCCCCACTTCAATATCAATAGGAAGAGGGTCCGCGAGTGGAACAAGAAGTTTGAGAATCTACTCCAACAAAACTTCGGCACGGCCAAGCTTCAGCGTAAGTAACAGAGCACCAGTGTTCAGTGAAGAAGTGAACGACACTATATTTGAGGTTCTCGAGTGGAAAAGTAGCGCTGGACAGGCAGTCAGTAACAGACTCCTTTTTGAAGAAGCTATCAAAATAGCTCGCAGCTTGCAGCTCAGAAATTTTGCTGTGTCAAGCCAGTATATCAAAAGGCGGAAACAGGGATTTGGCGTCACAATGTGGCAAGCAACAAATGAGAGTCAGAAGACACCTGAGGACTTCTCAAACAGCAAAGGCATTTCCCTGTGTGGTGAATGCCGAGTACGCCTCAACTACACTCTGTACAATATGTGCAACATGGACCAGACGATGGTGCGAATGGACTCTCCGGCAAACAAATCGAACAATGTAACTGGGGTGAGCTCTGTACGCATTGCAAACACTGGCCATGCCCGTAAAAGTTTTAAAGTTGCACTGGCAGCATGCGCAAGTGGCCAAAAGCTTCCAGCCTTTGTAATTTTGAAAGAACCGAGTAGAAGAATACCTGCCAAGGCGTTCACAATCCTTCGTATACCAGGCGAGTGGTGAATTTTGTACATCAGGTTCTTTTTGTTCGCTTTCACAGTGGAGAGTAACAATTCGGAATGTGCTTGATTAGTGTACTGAATTG